TAATTACAAAGTATTCAATTTAATAGACGAAAATTGATTATACATTTTATTTTAATTTAATTATAAATTTAAATATTAATTAATTTAATGTTATTTAATGCCATTAGTATTATAAATAAAAACTAAAATTTATTTATATCATATAAACTTGTTACATTTGAAACTTACTTGAAGGCGCATACAACAAATATGTATGCCATACACTGTGCATATGTCATGAATGGCAATATAGCGTTTTACACCGTCTATCCCAACTGGTCAAATAAAATATTGCAGTCATCCATATAGTACGTGCCATTTTGTTCACCTAATGTTTGTTTGGTTTGAATTGTATACATGTGTACAATAGAGTGCATTACCTGTACTTTGCAGTCAATTTGCTGTACGATTGCATGATTGTATGGATTGCATGAATGTGAAGCAATTTGATTGCATAAGTGTTGCATTGATTTATCGGACACTTTCATCTCAAATGCTATCCGAATAGATGCCAAACAAATCAATAGTAATGATTGCAATGCATTGAAATAGGTATCATAAATACAAATATAAATTATAAATGAGTTGCGAGACTAAAAAAGATACATGCTAAATATTCTGAATACACAATTCCATAGGAATCTAATTCTAACAAATACACCTACTAATTAAATTTATTGAAATATATTTTGTATATTGAATTATTTATTAGAAAGGCTTAGAAAAGTATCAGGCTTATGTGTGATTTGTGTATTAATACTTTTATATGAGATACAGTAATGTATGAGAATCTGTGCCATCATTGCCATAGAATTGTAATCAATAATTGAGTTCTCAATGATTAGTAGAAAGGATTAGTATTGGAGATCCAAATCATTAATAGCTCATTAAGTTAGGATTAATGGCAATAGTATTTAAGTAATATTTAATTACAATGTTTTCATACCATAGTATACCATATTGTAGCAATTGCTGTGCTTTTTATCAAAACTTCCTTTTCATATGATTGTCGCATAATTTTATAGTCACCTAAACTTCATTTTATATGCATTTACATTTACAATACTATCAGGGTATTATAAGTTAATTATAAGAGTATATTACATTTTTATACAAAAGTTTATCTATTCTAATAATCTAAAATACTGTACTTAAAATTGTTTACAAATACTGTATACAACTTCATAGACATAACAAATTATTTCTAACAAATCTTACTACAATATAAATTACTACAATTATTTTCTTTAAAAATTCATTGTCAATGAATTTATATTTAATTTTACCGGTAGTATTGAAATAATGATAAATAAAATAGTATTATGAAATAAATCTTACTATATTTAATATGGCTAACTGTGATAAATGAATTGCACTTTAAAAACATTTCGCATAATTTTCTGGTGTATTTTCCGCCAGAAATATGATTTATAATACTTTATTCACACTTTATATTCAATTAACTTCATATTATTTGAAACAAACATCAGAAGTTTAAACATCAGTTTATTTTAATATTCATTTAATATTTGTAAAGAATACATAAAATTAAATAAATATATTTATCACATCTAAAATTACAATATAAACTAGTATAAAATGTCAAATTCCAAGAATCAAGTATCAAAAAGTGATAGCAATTTGTTAAGTTTTTATAATACACCGAAATCGCTGATCCATACACGACCGTCATTTCAAATGATACCAAAGTTAAGAGAAAATGTGCTTAAAATGTATGAAAACAATGAGAGTATTGCCGATGAGTGCGATATTAATCGTATCCGTGAGGACGACTGGTTTGTCCAGAGATTTATCGATTACTACAACAACGATGTCTCGGAGGCCACACAACNTATTTTCATACAAATCTCAAATGTGATACTTATTTTTGGCAATAATTGTAACTTAATTATACTGTTTGGCCTCTTCTAGCAAGTCGTCATAAATTTTCATATATTTCTTGACCTCTGTTTGCGTGAAGCCATACCTTTCGGCCAATTCATAAACTGTGGGACAATTATCCGGTGCTTCAGTGAACGATTTATTGCACTTCCCTCCCATATATTTAGGCAACCACTCGATGTCCACATACTTTTCAATCTCATCTCCATTCGCGAAGTACACCAAATGTCTGTACTCTCCTAACCATCCCTTCACGAGTTTCCAGATACCCCTCAGAAGCCACGGCATGTTATAGATCAGTACGTATTGAAGGGCCAGCGGGTAGTAAACGGTGAGACTTGTGATCACGAATTTCATTAAATCCATGCTTAGGTTATTAATACTAGAGTCGGAACAGTCGAGTACCAGAATAAAGCCTTTTTTGCCCACTTTTGTGTCCAATTGTTCAATGATGCCAATGATGAACATCTCAATGAGTTCTCGCAATTTAGTAACTTTTCTGTTGCATTTACCCCTAAGAAACAACTGTCAAACAATCGGTTAATAAGTTTACTTCTAATACAATACTCTTAAACTTAGTTCAAATAAAATAGTCAAACCCATTACCAGAGGAATACCATTCTTGTCCTCCGTGTACACAAAGAAGGCGCCGATTTTGAAGAACTCTTTGCCGTAATCCTTATCTAAGGTCCTGTTGTTAACACCGAAAGATTTTCTCCATTTCAGAGTCGAGACCATGTGTTGTGTGGCCTCCGAGACATCGTTGTTGTAGTAATCGATAAATCTCTGGACAAACCAGTCGTCCTCACGGATACGATTAATATCGCACTCATCGGCAATACTCTCATTGTTTTCATACATTTTAAGCACATTTTCTCTTAACTTTGGTATCATTTGAAATGACGGTCGTGTATGGATCAGCGATTTCGGTGTATTATAAAAACTTAACAAATTGCTATCACTTTTTGATACTTGATTCTTGGAATTTGACATTTTATACTAGTTTATATTGTAATTTTAGATGTGATAAATATATTTATTTAATTTTATGTATTCTTTACAAATATTAAATGAATATTAAAATAAACTGATGTTTAAACTTCTGATGTTTGTTTCAAATAATATGAAGTTAATTGAATATAAAGTGTGAATAAAGTATTATAAATCATATTTCTGGCGGAAAATACACCAGAAAATTATGCGAAATGTTTTTAAAGTGCAATTCATTTATCACAGTTAGCCATATTAAATATAGTAAGATTTATTTCATAATACTATTTTATTTATCATTATTTCAATACTACCGGTAAAATTAAATATAAATTCATTGACAATGAATTTTTAAAGAAAATAATTGTAGTAATTTATATTGTAGTAAGATTTGTTAGAAATAATTTGTTATGTCTATGAAGTTGTATACAGTATTTGTAAACAATTTTAAGTACAGTATTTTAGATTATTAGAATAGATAAACTTTTGTATAAAAATGTAATATACTCTTATAATTAACTTATAATACCCTGATAGTATTGTAAATGTAAATGCATATAAAATGAAGTTTAGGTGACTATAAAATTATGCGACAATCATATGAAAAGGAAGTTTTGATAAAAAGCACAGCAATTGCTACAATATGGTATACTATGGTATGAAAACATTGTAATTAAATATTACTTAAATACTATTGCCATTAATCCTAACTTAATGAGCTATTAATGATTTGGATCTCCAATACTAATCCTTTCTACTAATCATTGAGGACTCAATTATTGATTACAATTCTATGGCAATGATGGCACAGATTCTCATACATTACTGTATCTCATATACAAGTATTGATACAGTAATACACAAATCACACATAAGCCTGATACTTTTCTAAGCCTTTCTAATAAATAATTCAATATACAAAATATATTTCAATAAATTTAATTAGTAGGTGTATTTGTTAGAATTAGATTCCTATGGAATTGTGTATTCAGAATATTTAGCATGTATCTTTTTTAGTCTCGCAATTCATTTATAATTTATATTTGTATTTATGATACCTATTTCAATGCATTGCAATCATTACTATTGATTTGTTTGGCATCTATTCGGATAGCATTTGAGATGAAAGTGTCCGATAAATCAATGCAACACTTATGCAATCAAATTGCTTCACATTCATGCAATCCATACAATCATGCAATCGTACAGCAAATTGACTGCAAAGTACAGGTAATGCACTCTATTGTACACATGTATACAATTCAAACCAAACAAACATTAGGTGAACAAAATGGCACGTACTATATGGATGACTGCAATATTTTATTTGACCAGTTGGGATAGACGGTGTAAAACGCTATATTGCCATTCATGACATATGCACAGTGTATGGCATACATATTTGTTGTATGCGCCTTCAAGTAAGTTTCAAATGTAACAAGTTTATATGATATAAATAAATTTTAGTTTTTATTTATAATACTAATGGCATTAAATAACATTAAATTAATTAATATTTAAATTTATAATTAAATTAAAATAAAATGTATAATCAATTTTCGTCTATTAAATTGAATACTTTGTAATTAGGGATTCAGTGTGAGCAATATAAAAATGCATTTTAAAATATTTGGGACTCAGAGGTAACATACTACTATTAAATACTATTTTATAATGAAAGTTAATTTTAATAAAATCCTCCTTAATTGATTTGACATATGTGCAAGGTGGGACATGTTGGCTATGCACTAACACAATCGTCTAACCCTATTGACCATTTAGGTTTGAATGAGTTATAGGTTAGAAAGTGTGAACGTCATGTAAAACACTCGCCAATTGTGCCCCTGTTGTGAACACATAGCCTATTTGAATGCCATGAACTCACATAACCACTCATAGACTGCAATACATAATTGATGTGTTGATCGCTATATTTTCATGAAATGTTTGCAAACGTATGAAAATATGACACAAAACACAACACATTACCAAACGAGTGGAGAGGGAGTGAGAGAGACAACTGGCAAACACTGGGAGAGTGAGAGTGGGAGACAGTAATGAGTGAGAAGTGT